GAGAGTGAAAAATAGTCGTTCTCTTTTCTGATTGGTTGAATGCATATTTGGTACGAATTTTACGCGGGCTTTTTATCGTGGATAAATCTTAGTACGTATGAAATAAGATGGTTTCAAACAAAATCCTTTGAATTTTCATTGAAGCTTTTTATAAGGTTTTATAACTTACATTGTTCAATGATCGTTGCACAAGCTCCTTCGGTGACTCCAAGATCGTCCATGGCTATATCACCATAGACTCCATCACCTATGACACCTTCAATGACAAACTGAAAAATACGAACAAACCTTTTTAGATTCGTATGCAAATTGCCCATTTCAGATCGCATGGCATTCCATTGAGATTTATTCTTTTATAACAAACATGTAAATTCACACATGAAAGAATCAACTCCCAAGAGTGGCATCACATGGTYTGAAATGTGCACAACAAACAACGAAGCTAAAAAAGTCTATTGAGTTAAAATTGATGACTTTTTTAGCCGCAAACATATGTTTTAAAAGGGCCTTTTTTTAACACTAGGCACGGTGGCATATTTGGTAAGAACTTTGGTTTTAAAGCAACCGGCTTGTGTTTTAGTTCCGCATGATCTTATAATTATGCGGTATGATCAGTGTAGTTCAAGCCCGAAATGCCCCTAAAACGTAAGCACCGATGGAGGTACCTATAAGAAAGGGCATGCAGTCGACTTAAATTAAATAATCCTTGCTAAAGGAGCTATCATATCGGCATTTACCGTGACTCCTAAAAAGTGTTGACTAGAAATAGTGATACCTTATATGGTTTTCCTGCAAGAAGTGTCGCCTGTCCAAAGAGCCATCGGTTTCCCCTATCGCCCTTTTGACTCCACTTTATGGAAGATGACGAGTCTGTCATTTCAATGACGTTTAAAAGGCCGATGTCAACTCCAAACATATGATACCAGAATCGAAAACAAACTGGTTGGTTTCCTGGAAACCATCTGCTGTGTAGCCTGGCCTTTGTTCCCTTGGTTTCGTTAGAAGCTTCGACATAAAGATAATACCCTTAAAAGAGAAGCAAAGTGTTAATTTCGGAGAAAGAAATTGACGAAATACAAGATAAAAATTGATAACAGGTTAACGTGGCTTTTTAACCCCTTAGAAATAATTACAGACTTCCTAAAGTAGACATTCTCGAACATGGCTGCCACTTTTATTTCCTTAAAAATGATTCCAAACCAACCATAGTGAACATCATCCATATTACTTTTGAAAGATAGTGAACATCTATAGAGAATAATATTCTATGATTCAATTAATTTTAATAAAATAATAAGTAGATCTAATAGTCGCTCATTACCCAATCCAGATAGCGTTGTATGATCAAAACTTGGTCCTGTATTTGGTGTGAGGGTGGGACCATTTCTTCTCGTCCATTTCAATGCTTCACTGGCGTTAAATGTCAGGCCACACAGACCATCTTCAAGCGAACAATGTGCTACAAAATATATCCAAGAGAAATGTTGAACTCTTTCAACCATCTCCCGCCTCCTCTCCCTACATTCGACAATGATTGTGACCGAATTAGGAGGTATTTCCGTATAAGGATTATGATATGAAGAAACTGAGGACATTATTGTTCAGTGAATATTTACCCACTATTATCGTCTCAGAATCAATAGTCGCTCCGCTCAATCACAGCGCACGAAACTCTAAATTGTCAGTCAGTCAAAATTGTAAAATAATTAAGAGAAATTTAAAGACTTACTTGGGAAAGTATTGTCGCAATTCGAAACTAGTGGATTATTTATGTTCGTTTTATTGCACGCCAAGTTGTTTAGAGGACATTGTGAATGACCTTGAGGGAAGAAGTTATAATTAATTCAGTTAATTTTCATTTGAGTAGGAAATTGTACTGACTTACCGCACATCCGCGGTACAATATGGCATAACATTATTTCCATACTTATATTACACTCAACAAAATTACTCGACTCTGATTGGTCGAGAGGAGTACAATTATAGCGTTAATTGTACTCCGTAGGAGTACCGAATTAAGTCGCTATGGCAACACGGCCAAAACAATGTCAAAACAATTATTTTCTTTCATTTTGTACTTAAAAAACATAGATAAAATTTTAAAGCCGTAAGAACTAATCTTTTTTATGCATTTCATTGCGCGATAGACTGAATAGACAAACTAAGATGAACGGCGTCGCTTCGCATTTTTTACTGAAATTTTGTTGAGTGAACTATAAACAAAAAATCGCACGATCTTCTCGTACAATTTGGAATTAATACACACTCGTAATGTTTTGAAAGTTCTTTAATTGCACTCGCCTAAAGGCGCGTGCAATTACAAGAACTTTCAAAACATTACTCGTGTCTATTAATTTCCAAATTGTACTCAAGATCGTGCGATTTCCTATACAAATCATCAACAGAATAAATTTAAAATAATATACGACAGTAAAGCACGTTAAGTATACAGGACGTAAAAGAATTTAGTAACGTATCTATAACGTTTTTATAACACTCAAAAGAAATATTAATCAGTTAAAAAGAAAGAAATGATAAACGAACTAGTTATCAATTTATTGTTCGCTTGCACGCTACTTCATCCCGGCCATATCAGTTAGTATCTAGTTAGTATTTGTAAAATACACAAACATGGCCGCCATTTCTTTTCCTTTTACCTCTCTTGGAAATGATTTCAGCCACCAAATGGTCTTAAAGGACATATTAAAGCGAAAAATCCTAAATTAAATTAATCTTATTTTCAGTGGAGAAACCTAGCACTGACTTACCACATATATCTGGAGAATGGCTGCCATCTTTGCAGTAAGAACCTTCGCGACACGTGACCGACCATGGTACGAATGTTCCATCGACACATTGAAATTCCAGCATTGTATTCCGCCTTTCTGAAATATTGATCAAGTAGATTGAAGTGAAGGTTGTAGATACATAGTTTGATCGCATGCTTTATTGCATCGCATGCTTTATGAGAGCACACAACGCGCGTGCACTTTCAGTTGCGTCATTCCTATCTAAAATAACGGTTATTTTAATTTGTATTTTATAAAAGAAATAAAAAACTTGATTTCTGTGCTGTGTGCAGTTACAGAGCACTTGGGGATTGGCATAACACTCGAGAAGTGTCGAAAAGCATTCCGCTACGGTTCATGCTCCTACTAACACTCCTCTCGTGTTCTTCCAACCCCCGCGTGCTTTATAACTGCACACAGAACGCGCGCGCGTTTTCTATTTCTTCAATGGAGAATGAAGCATGAATATATAATATTTATTGTCCTTATTCTTAAGAGAATAACACATGTTCTGACATGAAAAGGTAAAAGACATCTATTCTATGAGTAGCTGCTTACCGCATGTTTTCTCGTCACTCCTCTCGATGCAGTCGTCCCAGCCATTACAAAGTTTATCGGTTGCTAGGCAAATCCCTGATGCACATTGTAATTCACTTCTAAGACATACACAGTTTTCTTCGTCAGACCCGTCAAGGCACGTCTTGTCACCGTCGCACACGAACATCTTTTTAATACATTGGTAGTTGTCACACTGGAATTCTTCTTCAGAACATGTGTACCCTAAAACAGTGAAGATCATGTTTGAGGCGAGAGCGACAAGCATTCGTGATTGCTGTAAAGCGGTTTTAAAGTTACTTAACACATAGGCGGATACAGGAGTGGACTCGAGGGGCCGTGCCCCCCCCCGAACCAGCCCATGTTTCCTAATAATAGTCAGTACTATACTAAATGATAATGTTAACTGGGGAGGGGAGGGGGTGGGGGTGGGGAAAAAGTCTAAATACCTGGCTTGGCGTAAGGTGGTTTGGTTCTGCACATAGATGTAGTTACTAAAACTTCGCTGATTGCAGCCTCACCAATGGTTTTGAAAACAAGCTGAGAGAAAATCAAAGTATATATATATATGTATGGTTGTTGTTAATTTTTGCTTTGTTGGTAGTGGTGAAGATGGTGGTTGCAGGTATGTTGGTTGTTGTCGTTGTTGTTTTTATTAGTGGTGGTAGATAAGCTAACAGTATGTAACAGAAGGCAGGACATCATTAAAAATCAACATGTGAGTTGAGCGTTGTGTGCGTAGAATATTGAATGTAGTGGTAGCGCATGTGAGTGAAAAGTGTCCCCAATTAGTGCGAAAGCGCTAGAACGACTAGACACTTAAATAAAAGTGATCTATTTATTTTTATTATATTAGTAGTCGCTGGTGGTTGCTATTGTCGTTAGTAGTGAAATTTATATTATTTTATATTAATTTAATATCAATGTATTTGAACTAAACTTAATAATATTAGCTAGTGTATTGCTATCAATGGTATTTTCATACTTTACTGTCCCTTTGCGGGCGCCAGGAAACTAGCGCCTTAGTCCACATGTATCCATGAAAACCACTTAGTCTCCATAAAAGTATCATCTCTCCCTTGATGGACAAGTAAACGTCAAGTCTCTTTCCCTTCCCTGGCGAATCAAGTTTATAACTGAAGGATAGGCAGGCTCCTATGGCTTGATAAATGTCGTTCCATAATAGATTATCCGACTTGAGAAATGTCGTTGACAAAGAATTGTCTGTCACCACTAAAAAGAAGGAAGATTATATAACGAAAACGGTCAGTTATATATAATCATAATAGCTTTTGGATCGACGAGAATAAAGGGCGAAAATTATACAAAAATCGAATAATTTTTTTGATTAGATTAATAATCTTTAATAATTAAATAAAAATTTCTAATAATTAAAAGAATAATTTTTAATCATTAAATAGATATTTTTTTCCTACCTATTGTCTTATTTCTTTTCCAGCCACAAATATCTTTATCGGTAAATGCACAACGTAGCAGTGTTGTCTCTGTAATGATTTAAATGTATATATATATAATGTGGTTAAATTTAAGCAAAGTTAACTGGGAGTGGAGTGCTGGC